AGGCAGTATCACTACGGAAGTAGGATTGCCCAACCTTCCTTCCGAGGAGTGGCTGGTGGGTTTGAACCGCCAGCCTTCTGGTTAGCAGGCAAGTGTCTTAGCCACTATGCTACCAGAGCTCCCACATCAAAGTTAAGCAAGGCCCTGCTGGGATTTGAACCCAGGATCTCCTGTTTACTAGACAGGCGCTTTGACCAACTAAGCCACAGAGCCAGTGAGGATGCTTATATCTCCCTCATGGATGATGTATGCAAATATATCTGCATGCACATAACAGGTGCCCTGTTTAAATTGACTCCCTTTGCTGCTTGCCTTCATTGAGCCCGTGAGGTGAGAGTCAGACTTAGCTTTCCTCTGTGAAGTGAGGTGCACGAAGAGAGACTAGATTGGCTGCATTTCTTTCCTAGTGGAAACCATTCTGCTTCTACCCCAGTGATGCATGGAGCAGGGAGATGAGCACTGGTGTGGGAGCAAGAGGAAAGGTTTTGAGGTTTTGAGTCACACTTTTGGTGGGTATTCCTGAGTAGGCCACTTCACTTCTCTGGGCTGCAGTTTATCCAGGAGTCAGATGAGGTACTCAAGTCAGATGAGGTACTCCTTCTCAGCTCTGATTTGACACCTTGGGGCCTGGGGCTGCTGAGCAGTGTTGACTGCTGCCGGAGAGCCCTCTGAAAGCCCCTTCCTTTCTCTTGGTGGCAGTTGCAGAGGGTGGCAGAGCAGAGGCTTGTGTCTCTATTTCAGAAAGGAAGGGCTTGAGGTGCAGAGAGGAGACAGACAGTGAGGTGTAGCAGGTGGGAATCTGTAGTTCTGTCACTTCCTAGCCATGTGACCCTAGCACATTTTATTCACTTTCTGAATATCACTTTCCTTCTCTGAAATGAGAATGAGAATGTTCCAAGCTCAAACAAGATAATGAATGTGACAGCCCTGTGTTGACTAGAGTCACTGAGTTGCTGGAGGGCCGCTGGTCCACAGGGAAGAATTTCCTTCAGTGCTGTCCCTCTTCCCCATACCTGCTTCCTTGGACTCTGTCTCCTGGACTGACGCTGTCTTGTTGAACCGGCAGAAAGGAGGCGTGGCATCAGGATTCAAGCACGTGGTACCCAATGAAGTGGTGGTGCAGAGACTCTTCCAGGTCAAAGGGCGGCGTGTGGTCCGTGCCACTGAGGTGCCAGTGTCTTGGGAGAGCTTCAACAATGGTGACTGCTTCATTCTGGACCTGGGCAATGTGAGTGCTGTCCTGCCCTTTCCCAGGGGTCACTCACGCGCAACTGACCCAGGCCTAACTCTGGGGAGATAGATAGACTCGTGTGTATACCTGTGCTCTGTGCATGAGTCAGACACATCTGCAAAGACCCCTGTACAGACATGCCCAGCATGCATAGACCCCCACATGTCTTGATTCAAGCTCATCATATGCATGTACACAGACCTCAAGGACACACCATGTGCGCAGCTTCAATTAACACACAGGCTCCCTAACATCTTGAGTTCATATCTATGTTGTGTACCAGTTTACATATGGGCATACACTTATAAATATATGACTGGCAAAACTTTTATGACTGCAAAAAGTATAGACTCTTATCCACCATATATGGACCATGTGAGCCTTAATGAGCATATACACACATAGACTTATGCACATGGACTTAGGTATGTTTAGGGAACCACGTGTATTATGGTATACACATAGTCACACATGCACATTGGTATATGACCCTCCTTACAGATGCTTAATTTTTTTTTTTTTATTGTGATTTGGGTGAAGGTTTACAGAGCAAATTTACTTTCCATACAGCAGTTCACATATACTTTGTCTCATGTCATTGACCACAGTTTACCAAAATGTAACAGCTCCCCTCCCACTTCCTCCCCATAGTTACCTCTTCCCAGTGTCCATCCCTCCATGCACTCCTGCCCCCTGAGCTGTCTCCCTGTGCTTAAGCAGCCCTTCTTTCTCCCACGATTGTTGTCTCCAAGGAGTGTATCTACTTGAGGTAAAAGTTCAACTCATATGCCTGTCTTTTGTTTGGCTGGAAACCACAGGTGTGGGTTCAATTCCAGATCTGAAGGGCAGCTAGGGGCCATAGTCTCAGTGGTTCCACCAGGCTCTATCAGACCAGCAGTCCCCCCCTCCCTTTTTTTTTCTCCAAATGATTTTGAGTTTTGTTCCACATTGTTCTGCCTCTCCATCAAGGATCTCCTACATAGACCCCCTTTCAAGTGGATGACAGTAGTAGCCAGGTACCATCTAGTTCTTCTGGTCTCACAGTCGTATAGGCTGTAGACTGGATGGTGTACCAGTCGCTAGGACTAATTGTTTCCATGAATTTTGGTTTTCTTCATTCTTCTTCGCTCTGGACAAGGAGAGACCCATCGTTGCAGATGCTTAATGTTTTATACACATTCACCTCACAAATCCACATGAACTCACACCTATAAATGTACATGGCCATACCTTCCACCCCAAACGTTATGTGTATATGCCCTTGTAGCATAAAGTCCATGTAAACACAAGCACACTTTTTTAGTGTGAGCTTTTGTTTTAAGTATACTGGACACACAGAAAAGTTCAAAAGTCCTGAGCGTATAGCACAAGAGATTCACAAAATTAACCCACTTTTGGAACCAGCACCCGGATCAAGAAACAGAACATCACCAGTTCCCCAGAAAGACCCTCCTGCCTTCTTTCAGGCCCTCCATCTCCAAGGGTAACCGTTAGCCTAAATTCTCTTAACAGCATAGATGAATCTTTCCTGTTTCTGAACTTTGCGTTCATGGAGCCCTACTCTTAGGTTGGGCTTCTTTTGCTCAACATAATGTTTGTGCGATTCATCCACATTGTTGTATTTAGTTGTCAATTGTTCATTCTCATTGTTGTATAAGATTCAATGGTGTGGCTATACCACAATTTATTTATTCTTTCTATTTATTAATGGGCATTTGGTGTAGTTTCTGGTGTGGGCGCTATTACAGTTAACACTGCTCTGAGCATTCTTGTTCAGGTCTTTTATGGAAATATGAATGCATTTCTGTTGGGTATGTTCCTAGGAGTGGGATTTCTGGGTCATAAGGTATAGGTATACTGAGCTGTAGTAGCTATAGCCAAATGGTTTTCAAAGGTGGTCGTACCAAATTACATTCTCACCAGCAGGCAAATGTTTTTATATACTCTATATGTAGTTGAAGGAGCTCTGGTAGCATAGTGCCTAAGGCACATGACTGCTCACCAGAAGGCTGGTGGTTCAAACCCACCAGCCACTCCTCGGAAGGACGGTTGGGCAATCCTACTTCTGTAGTGATACTGCCTCGGAAACCCAAGGAGGGGTTGCTATGAGTCGGGGCCGACTCAATGGCAAAAACAACAACAACAACAAAACATGTAGTTGTAGCTGTGGAAGGGCACACATCTCCAGATGCGCATCACAAACCCTGGTGTACCTGGATCACAGCCACTGTGCTTGGGTGTGTACGCATATGTGCTGTGCCGGCCCTCACCCGGGCAAACACAGAACACAGGGAGCTTACAAACACTCAGCCTCACAGCTTTCTCCTTTTACTACGACACTGGGGGCCATATATGACATCTGTGGCACTGCCTAACGTGGGATCTCTGTCTTACAGGAAATTCACCAATGGTGTGGCTCCAACAGCAACCGATTTGAGAGACTGAAGGCCACACAAGTGTCCAAGGGCATCAGGGACAATGAGCGGAGTGGCCGGGCCCGAGTGCAGGTGTCTGAGGAGGGTGCCGAGCCTGAGGGAATGCTCCAGGTACCCACGGCCACATCGAAGGGGTGCAGGGCGGGGCTGGGCGTGGGGACAGGGTGCTCATGACTGTCTGGCATTCAACAGGTAATTCTGAGGTTAATTTCAGGGAAAAGTAAGTCATTCTTTTCCCCATTAAGACAGTTGTTTTTGTTTTGGTCCACGGAGGCATTTTATTTCTATTAATGGATTACATACCTAGGCAAAGAATCCCAGGATTTTCTCTCCTGTTTTTTTTTTAACTTTTGATTGTGATTTTGGGTGAAAGTTTGCAAAGCAAATTGGTTTTCCCTTCAACAATTCATACACATTTTGTTTTGTGACATTGATTGCAATCCTCACAGTGTAGCAGCTCTCTTACCACTTCTTTCTTGCGTTTACTGTTTCCATTCATCCTTCTTTCCTATCCTTGTTTACCTTCTAAGCTTTATGTCTGGGCAGATCACACATGATCCTCCTTTGTGTTTTTGCTTTGCTTCTTCGTGGCCCATGATGCCAGCTGAGGTTGTCAGTACAGTGGAACCAAACTGTTGGGAAAGAAGCAGGTTATTCGGCCACTTCTCTTGATCCTTGAGTTGCACATCACATCTGGGGCTGTTCACTCCACACAGGTTTAATCTGCTGTCTTAGCATGGGCTCTCTACAGAGCAAAGCCAGTGAAATATATATACGTACATATACATACATAAAAAGGAGCTCTAGTGGCGTCATGCCTAAGGCATTTGGCTGCTAACCTGAAGACTGGCAGTTCAAAGTCACCAGCCACTCTGTGGAAGGAAGACTGGGCAATCTACTTCCATAAAGATTTACCGCCTTGGAAACCCAAGGAAGGGTTGCTATGAGTCGAATCAACTAGACAGCAGTGAGTTTAGATTTTTTTCTATGAGATATATAGATGTACGTATATATTATGTATATGATTTACATATACATAATATATATGTACATCTAAAAGCCAAATTAACTGCCATTAAGTTGATTTTGACTCATAGCAACACCCATTGGGTTTCCAAGGCTGTAAATCTTTAAATGCTTTAACCACTGTACCACCAGAGCTCGCTCTCTCTCTCTCTCTCTCTCTCTCTCTCTATATATATATATCTCCACCTCCACCACTCGTCTGCCAGTTTGTTGTACTGTAGTGGCTTGTGTGTTGTGAAGCTGGAGGCTGTACCACTGGTATTTCAAATACCAGCAGGGTTACCCATGATGGACAAGCTTCAGTGGAGCTTCCAAAAAAAGTCAGAATTGGAAGAAGGAAGGGGCCATCCACGAAACTGCACTGAAGGAATTGGCAAAGAACGAAATTCCAGGAATTTGTTATGATCCCACTGAGATGTTTCAACAACTGGATGCCACGCTGGAGGCACTCACTCGGCTCTGCAAAGAGATTTGGGAGACAGCTACCTGGCCAACTGACTGGAAGAGATCCAGATTTGTATCCGTTCCAAAGAGAGGTGATCCCACAGAATGTGGAAATTATCAAACACTATAATTAATATCACACACAAGTAAAATCTTGGTGAAGATAATAAAAAATGGTTGCAGCAGTATATTGACAGAGAACTTCCAGAAATGCAAGCTAGATTCAGAAGAGGACGTGAAATGAGAGTTATCATTGCTAATGTCAGATGGATCTTGGCTGAAAGGAAAGAATGCCAGAAAGATGTTTACTTGTGTTTTATTGACTATGCAAAAGCATTCGATTGTGTGGATCATAACAAATTATGGATGACATTGAGAAGAATGGGAACTCCAGAACACTTGATTGTGCTTATACTGCATTGTTTAAAATTAGGAAGGAAGTGTGTGAGGGTTGTATCCTTTCACCACACTTACTCAATCTGTATGCTGAGCAGATAACCTGAGAAGCTGGATTATATGAAGAAGAATGTGGCATCAGGATTGGAGGAAGACTCCTTAACAACCTGCGATAAGCAGATGATACAACTTTGCTTGCTGAAAGTGAGGATGACTTGAAGCACTTACGGATGAAGATTAAAGACTATAGTCTGCAGTATGTATTACATCTCACCATAAAGAAAATGAAAATCCTCACAACTGGGCCAATAAGCAGCGTCATAATAAATGGAGAAAAGATTGAAGTTGTCAAAGATTTCATATTACTTGGTTCCACAATCAACACCAATGGAAGCAGCAGTCAAGACATCAGACAACATACTGCCCTGGGCAAATTGGCCACAAAAGACCTCTTTAAAGTGCTGAAGAGCAAAGATATCTCTTTGTGTTTTTTTGTTTGTCTGTTTTTTTAATTGTGCTTTAGGTGCAAGTCTACAGAGCAGAGTTTGTTTTACATTCAACATTTCGTGTCCATTTAGTTTCACTCCCCATTTACCATGCCCAACCCTAACCCAGTCGCCTCCCCTCCCTGTTCAGTAACCCCACCCCGTGCCCCTCATAGTTATGCACTCCTGTGTGTTGCATTTCCTCTGTGTGAATGTTGCCTCTCTGGTGCCCTGTTTTGGTTGCTCCAAGGGATGCATTTCTATAGAGTATGTCAGTGTGTACCCTGGGTTGAGTGGTCTGCATGTACATCTTGCTTACTATTGGGCTGAGAGCCAGCCCTTGGGAGTGAGTTTTATTCTAGGCCCAGAATGTATCCCAGGGCCATAGTAATGGGTATCTCACCAGACTCCATCCGACCAGTAATTCTGGTCATTATTGTGTTTTTGGATTTTGTTCCACATTTTTCCTCCTACTCTATCCAGGATCTCCAGTTTTGAGCCTTTCCTGAGTGGTTGGCATCAGTAGCTAGTCACCACCATTTAATTTTTCTTGTCTCGAGGTCCATTATGTCCTAGGGCTGATCCCTTCCAAATGCCCTTGTTTTTTTGCACTCTTCTTTGCTTCCAACAATAGGAGACCATTAGCTGCATCTTAGATGGCCACTTGAAAGCTTTTAAGACCCCAGTCACTACTGCTACTCACCAAGGTAGGATGAGGAACAAGATTTTTATGTATTTTGTTGTGCCAATTGGTGCCTGGTGTCCCCAGTACTATGGTCCTGAGTTGGTAGATCCGTTGGATCTCTCTCCCACAGTGTCTGACTGTCTGTGAGGGATTACTCTATGTCTGTCTTCTGTTGTTTCTGTAAGGATTACAGGTATTTTATACACTGGTATCTGTGCAAGATTAGCCTCTGCTGAATTTATCCTTGGTCTAGAGTATACTCCTGTTCTCTGACCCCCATCTGATCTTCTCAGATGTTTATGTGTTTATCTGTAGTCTGGTGTTTGGTGTTAATAGTAATGCAGTATTGTGGATATACTGGTTGGTATTAGCGTCTGTTGTTTATCTCTTATGTGCACAATTCAGTGTCCTCTCTTTCCCTAATGTTATCATGGTGGCCACACACTCTTTCTATACCATCCCTCCCCTTACCTACGTCAGCTTGTGGCCCCCATCTAGCCTGAAATTAATCCTTCCCCTTCCCTCCCTACCTGGAAGACTAAGCTGCACTGAACCCAAGCCATGGTGTTTTCAATCGTCTCATATGCATGTGAAAGCTGGACAATAAGTAAAGAAGACTGAAGAAGAGTTGATACTTTTGAGTTGTGGTATTGGCAAAGGATACTGAAAGTACCATGGACTGCCAGAAGAACAAACATCTGTCCTGGAAGAAGTGCAGCCGGAATGCTCCTTGGAAGTGAGAATGACCAGACTTTATCTCACCTATTTTGGTCATGGTGTCAAAAGGGATCATTCCTGGAAAAGGATATCATGCTTGGTAAAGTGAAGGGTCAGCAAAAAAGGGGAAGACCCTTGACGAGATGGATTGACACAGTGTCTGCAGTGATGGGCTCAGGTATAGCAAGTATGCTGAGGCTGACGCAGGACCGGGCAGTGTTTCATTCTGTTGTGCCCGGGGTCACTATGTATCAGAGCCGACTCAGCAGCATCTAACAACAACAACAGGAGGAGAAAATAAGTAAAGTAAATATCTGAAGGGTCCCTGGGTGGCACAAACACTTTGCCTTCTTCTATTAATCTAAAGTTTGGTGGTTCAAACTCATCCAGAGGCACCATGGAAGAAAGACCTGCCAACTGCTTTAATAAAGATTATAACCTGGAAAATCTTCTAGAGCAGTTCTAGTCTGTAACACAGGGAGGCATCATGAGAGTCAAGATTGACTCAATAGCAATAGGTTTGTTTCTGTTTTTTAAATACCTGACGGGCCATCCTGGGGACAGAGGAGCTTCTGTGCTCTCTCAGAGCTCCTAAAGACAGGGAGACTGGAAGGGAAGGACTTGACAGGCAGGTCCGGTTGAGCTCCCACAACAGGGGGCCTGGGAGCAGATGCAGGGCATCTTTGGAGGGGAGGTCTGCCCCACATGGAGGGTTGCTTTGGATGCCTGAGTGGACCCTGCCTGCCTGAGGAGCTTCCTGGTGGTGGTGGGGAGGCTGCTGGGAGCTCATGCCACCCCTTCTCACCATCCTCCATCTCTTGCAGGTGCTAGGTGCCAAGCCAGTTCTACCCCCAGGTACTGAGGACACAGTCAAGGAGGATGCAGCTAACCGCAGGCTGGCTAAGCTCTACAAGGTGAGCCTGGGGTGCTCTGTCCCCCTGCAGTATGGAGCTCCACAGCTGCGCGGGGACCTTGGCATCCATGTCTCTCTGTGGATACCCATGTACTTCCTTTGCCTTCCTGCACTAAGAATAAGACAACATAACATGATGGACTGCAGACACACCCATGTCATGTTCATATGTGAGATCTTGACCAATGCTTGTTCTCGCTGTGGGTCTCAGTTTCCTAATCTGTATAGTAGGGAGAAAGGCAATATGTTCAACTCTAGGATTTCTTGAGTTCTAATAGATGACTGATGGGAAGATGTCGTAGGAAAATAATTGAGGAAATATTACAGCAGTGGGTCAAGGTGGTGAGCTGTGGTTAATGACTTAATTTGCCATTTCTTCCCTGTGATTTGAAAAGCTGACTTGAGGCTGATCTTGAGCTGCGAAGTTAGCTTCATCTGAGCTCCCGGGGAAAGCCGAGGCTAGCCCATTATGTTGTGCCCTAGGCTCATCTGTGGCAAAGCAAAAACGAAAGGGGGGTGCAGAGTCTCACTGCCTCCAAATAAAAACAACTTTTTTTTTTTCCTGATTATAAGGTAATACTTGGGTATTGTGATAAATACTCAAGAACATCAAAAGAAAATAAATCAGGGCTTTGAACTGTTTCAGTCATGGCCAATGGAACATATGCGTTACATAGCAACCAAATCTCATGCATCTGGGGTGCTGACCCGAGTAGGAAAAGGCAGTGATGCCCTGTTCAGAGTTGGTGGGAAACACACATTCAAAGTGGTGCTGTCGGCTGCCATCTTTAAGCAGGCCACCATTGCTCGTTTCCTACTCGGGTCAAAACACAAGAGACTTGGTTGCTATGCAGTGTGTGTGCTCCGTTGGTCCTGACTGAACCAGTTCGAACCAATTCGAATCCTGACTAAGAGTCGATGAAATTTCACTAGTTAAAGATAAACCCTGTTGCAATTGAGTGTATTATGATTCATTAGGAGCTCTGGTAGCATAGTGCCTAAGGCACTTGACTGCTAACCAGAAGGCTGGCGGTTCAAACCCACCAGCCACTCCTCGGAAGGAAGGTTGGGCAATCCTACTTCCGTAGTGATACTGCCTCGTAGTGATACTGCCTCGGAAACCCAAGGAGGGGTTGCTATGAGTCAGGGGCGACTCGACGGCAAATAACAACAACAACAACGATTCATAGTGACCCTATAGGACCGAGTAGAACTGCCCATAGGATTTCCAAGTCTTCCGTAGTGATACTGCCTTGGAAACCCAAGGAGGGGTCGCTATGAGTTGGATCCGACTTGACGGCAGTGAGTTTTGAGTTTAATCTTAATGCAAGCAGACTGCCACACCTTTCTCCTGTGGAGTGGCTGGTGGTTTTGAGCCATTGACCTTTTCGTTAGCAGCCAAGAGCTTAACTACTGCACCACCAGGGCACCTAGTTAAATTTAACACTTACTAGTTAGTTGGGCGATCTATTTCTGTAGTGATACTGCCTCAGAAACACAAGGAGGAGTCGCTATGAGTCGGGGCCGACTTGACGGTACATAACAACAACAATAACAGTTAAAGTTCTGTCATCCATTGCTAAACTGCGCTCTGGAAGGGCTCCCAAGTTCCCTTCACAGGGCTATGAAAGGCATCCTTACTCAGAGCCTTTTGAGTATTGTCAGTCTTTTGACTTTGGGCAAGTGTGATAAACCTTTTTTCTTTCTTTTTTTAAAATATTTTTAAAGTGAACATTTGATTTTGGAATAATTTTTAGATTTATAGAAATTTGAAAAGATAGTAGAGTTCCCATATACCCTTACCCTTGCCCAGCTTCTCCCTAACATCTTCACATAGCTATGGCATATTTCTCAGATCTAAGAAGTTAACATTCGTTCAATACTATTAACTATTAACAAACAAACAAACAAACAAACAAACAAACCTGTTTCCCATTGAGTCGATTCTGACTAATAGCAACCCCTATTGGGTTTCAGAAGCAGTAAATCTTTACAGAAGTAGATTGCCCAATCTTCCTTCCAAGGAGTGCCTGGTGAGTTTGAACTGCCAGCCTCTGGTTAGTAGTCAAATGCCTTAGGCACTATGCCATTAGAACTCCTACTATTTCCCCAGTTCTTTGTTTCAATTCAGGATACCGCATTGCATTCAGCTCTTTTTATTTTATTGTCTGTTTCTACTAATGAGGTTGATATCTTTCTAGCAAACTATATAATTCTCCTATGCCACCCTTGGGAGCTCTGGTAGCATAGTGCCTAAGGCACTTGACTGCTAACCAGATGGCTGGCAGTTCAAACCCACTAGCCACTCCTCGGAAGGAAGATGGGGCAATCTACTTCCATAGTGATACTGCCTCAGAAACCCAAGGAGGGGTCACTATGAGTCAGATCTGATTTGACAGCAGTTGAGTTGGTGTTTTTTATAGTTAATAGCAAGGAGCTCTGGTGGTGTAGTGCCTAAGGCATTTGACTGCTAACCTGAAGGCTTGTGGTTCAAACGCACCAGCCACTCCTCAAAAGGAAGATGGGGCAATCTACTTCCGAAGTGATACTGCCTCCGAAACCCAAGGAGGGGTTGCTATGAGTCGGGTCCGACTCGACGGCACATAACAACAACATGCCACCCTTGTTCCTGCATTTTATCTTCTTTTACTTTTCAATGTGAGTTTCTAATATGGGCATGTTACCCCAAGTCCCAGGTCAGCAGATATGGCTCTGAGAGACCAGAAAAGGAGAAGCTAAATAAGCCTCAGATCTTGAAGGTGAAGGCCCAGGTGTTGTTCTACAGTGTCTTTTTGGGTAGAAGGTGATGTGGATCAACCCAGGTGCTGGCTTGGGGATACCCATTGGCCAGCCAAGATAGTGGATGTCCCACAGGGGAGTGACTGCAGACACTCATCGTCCTGGCTCTCTGTCTCTTGTCCATCAGGTCTCCAATGGTGCAGGCACCATGTCGGTCTCCCTAGTGGCTGATGAGAACCCCTTTGCCCAGGGGGCCCTGAAGTCAGAGGACTGCTTCATCCTGGACCATGGCACAGATGGGAAAATCTATGTCTGGAAAGGTACTGGGGACAGGGGTTCCCAACCAGACCTCAGAACCTCGGGTGGTGTATTTGTTTCCTAGGACTGCCGTAACAAAGTACCATAGACTGGCGGCTTATAGAACCAGAGCCATGTTTTCTCACGATTCTGAAGGCTAGAAGTCTGAATTCAGGCCACATTCTCTCCAAAGGCTCTGGGGGAGGCTTTCTTGTCTCTCTCTGGTAGCCCCAGGTATCCCTTGGCTTGCAGAATAGCTCATTCTGCACAAGACTGTCACCCTATATATTTCTATGCCTCTTCTCCTCTTTTATAAAGAAGTCACTCAGATTAGATGAGGACCTACCTGATTCCAATATGACCTCATATTAACTGATAACATCTTCTAAGACCCTATGTCCAAACACCATCACACTCACGGGTACTAGAGGTTTAAGCTTCAATACATCTTTTTAGATACACAATTCAATCTGTAACAGGTGGCAGCTCCTGCAGCCTTCCAGGCTCTCAGCTCAGGAGGGAGGGGAGAGTGTGTTCAGAGTACCCTGATGCAGTGGGAGGGTTCTAAATAGAAAACAGGAGTTTTGGGCTTTGCAGCTGACTCCCTATGTGATCTAGGGCAATTTACTTACCTTCTTGGATCATAGCTTTCTTACTTGGGCTAAAATTAGTGTTTCCCAAGTGTGTCATAAGACCAATTCTCTGAGAGGTTAATTGGCATCATGTAAAACTAAAAATTCTCTGATCAAGTAAGTTCATGGACAGCACTGGGTTAAATAATGTTAACCAGGTTTGTTTATTGCAGGACTTCTCAGAGCCTTTAATTTGCTAATATACATAGGGGCTTTTCAGAAGGGTGCTCTGGTTTCTGTTTGGGAAACACTCTATCAGAGGTCCATGGTTGTGGGATGCTATTGGAAAATGTTGGCCCAGATATCCCCTGAGTAACCCTCTTCTCCTGTTGGTTCTACTGCTAGTCCAGGGAAAAGGTCAGAAAGGGAAGGAGGCATCAGATGGGCAAAGAATGGGAGGAGGAGCTCATGACTATTTACTGTTATCTGGTCCCTCCAGGCGGTAGGCCAGCTGATGATAAGGCTGGGAATGTGGGCTCGTGCTCACTGGCTGGGAGCCCACCTAGCACGGGAAGGCTCTCAGGATTGAGACAGCTTCAGACCGTGGAGTAAGGAGAAGCCCCGTCACTATGAACAGACAGCCCAGGGAGAGCAGAGAGGCCTGAGTGTATAGTGCATAGGCTTTGGAGGCGATAGGGGCAGAGTCTGAATCCCAGTTTTTCCATTTACTGAATGGCCTCGGTCAAGTCACTTGGTCAAGCCATGTTTCCTTATATATAAAATGGGGGCCATATACTAAAGATCTTTGTCACATAAGATTGTGGGGTGGATTACGTGATACAATCTGTGCATGGTTCTGAACAAAAAGCACATCGTCAGCAAACGGATGCACCTATTACTATGTCTGCTGTGGTTGCCACCATCAGCCAGGACATCCGGCTAGACCCCTGGAACTCTATAAATGGTCAGCTCCAGGGTTCTGGCCTTGGCTGTCCAGTCTAAGAAGGTAAGGGAGGGAAGTCTGGCTGATCTTTCCCATGGTGTGGAAATCACGGGCACCAGGAGCAGGAGTCCCTGGACCATTGGATGTTTACAGGCTGCAGCCCCGATCACAGGCCCCTAACCCTCCATCATCCTCTCTCTGGCTGCCCACAGGCAAGCAGGCCAACATGGAGGAGAGGAAGGCTGCCCTCAAAACGGCCTCTGACTTCATCTCCAAGATGGGCTACCCCAAGCAGACCCAGGTGAGTCTTGGAGGTAAGGTGAGGGGTGGGTCCAGTTTGGGGGGGATAGGTTGGGGTGGGGTGGATGTCCCACCTTCACTGTGGCCTGGGCATCTTAGTCTCCCCGAGAACTCCTGCTGAGTTCTCTGTCCTCAGGAGGGCTCGAGCCGTGTTGCATCCTGCTCTGTCTCCCTTTCTCAGGTCGCAGTCCTTCCTGAGGGTGGTGAGACTCCGTTGTTCAAGCAGTTCTTCAAGAACTGGCGGGACCCAGACCAGACAGATGGCCCAGGCCTGGCCTACCTCTCTAGCCACATTGCCAATGTGGAGCGGGTGCCCTTCGACGCTGCCACCCTGCACACCTCCACCGCCATGGCTGCCCAGCATGGCATGGACGATGATGGCACAGGCCAGAAACAGGTACCTCCAGGCCTGGGGGCGGGTGTGGCCCAGGCTTCCCCTGCTCCTTCTCAGCACCTCTGGCCCAGGCTCTGCCTCCTACTTCCCTGAAGATGTTTCTCTATGATTTGGAGCACAGTGTTGGTGGGTGAGGTTCTTTTGTTTTGCTTAAATTTTTCAACCAACCAGGGAAAAATTACCCAATAAGCAAGAACAGTTTCACGTGTGTTGTAAAACACACTCTAGATTAGTAAGTAAGCTTACTGGCACTCTGTCCCTGTCAGGAATTGTAAATTTGAAAAGAGGTTTTGCTCCTAGAGGAAGGTGCTCTGGGGTTAGGAGACAGACAGATGCCAGCCATACCTAGAAGCAGAATCTCTGATGTGGTAACAAAAATATGTTCACTACAGATTAGTAAGTAAGCATAAGTAAGCCCATGCTTACTTTGCTTATTGGGTAATCTGCCCCTGCAACCAACACAGCCTGAGCACTGACTCTATGTCAGGTCCTGTACCAAGTGCCTCAGACCTCACCCTGCCCCACAAGAGTGCTTAGTCTAGATAGACGTCATAGTCAGTTGGAGGCCAACACAGGGAATTATGGAAACACAGAAAAGGCAAGGAGTTGGGGCAGCTTCCACAGAGATGGGTACCAGGATGTTCACAGTGAAGATGGAGGAATGGGGAGCATTCAGAGATATTGATGATGTAGAATCCACCTCAGGCAAAACTTGATTCCATTCTTCATGGTGGAAATAGCAGAAGTGTTCGTTTCTGTTTACTGTTGCTTTAGTCATCAGTATAATTGATCATAAATTACTTTGGTGGGAAGGGAGTGCAATGAAAATATTCAGGGTGGGGCAGTGTGGAAAGGGCTCTGCTAGCCCAGGTGTGTGATCTTGGGCAAATTGCTTAAACTCTTTGAGCTTCACTTTCCTCCTCTTGTGCCAAGGGTTTGATGATGATCACCTGATACTCCATCATCTAGAATTTTCAAGGTTTGGAGATTCTGGGACTCAATGTCTCCACAGAACCACCAGGTGGTGCTGCAGGCCTTTGCAACTGTTTATCAACCCTTGTTGCAACCTGAGAGCATTGCAACAAGACCTGCTAGCAGGGGTCATTCTGGGGTTACCGAGCGATGACCCTGCCTCTGGAAGTGACCTGTAAAATCTAGACACTTCAGTAACAATATGAATAATGGTACTCTCAATGATAACAATAATATATAAGAGCAGCTGCCCCTTACAGAGCTATGCCAGGCATGGTGCTAGACTTTCATGAATAATCTCATTGGATAGTTACAACAATCCTTTGGGGTAGGTGCTCTTACTATCTCTATAGTTCAGATGGGGAAACTGAGGCTTAGAGAGTTGAAGCCCAAGATGACGAAACCTTTAAAGGGGTGAAGCCTGATTTGAGTCCAGGTCTGGTTGACTCAGACCCTGTGCTCTTAACTTGCACGGTGCTACACTCATTAAGAGCTTATTGTGAGTACCTACTGTGTGGGCCTCAGTCCCTGTGGTATAAGGATTTGGAGCAGGAGGCCTGGGTCTGAATCCCACCCCTGCCACCTCCTGGCTCTGATTTGGGCAAAGTATTTAACTTCATTCTGAACATGAGTGACATCATGTATCAAAAGCTTGTCCTGTTATCTAACCATGATCCATCACCCCATGGTTTCCCAGTTGGCCTCAGATGAGGGCTGGGGTGCTGCATGAGTACTGACCCAGCTTTGCTCTGGCAGATCTGGAGAATTGAAGGATCCAACAAAGTGCCTGTGAACCCTGCCACGTATGGGCAGTTCTATGGTGGTGACAGCTACATCATTCTGTACAACTACCGCCATGGTGGCCGCCAGGGACAGATCATCTACAACTGGTGAGCGCCTGGGGCCATCTGGTGTGTGGGAGGAGGGGAGACATGGTTGCCCTGACTGGGCCATGAGCATGCCAACATGGGGGTGGGCAGTGAGGGAGCAGGTCCGAGGGTATGAGTCTGAGGCGGGCCAGCCACACCCCCCCTAGAAAAGGCTCTTGTCCGCAGGGCAACACACTTATTTTTTTTCTCAAAACCACTTTTCAACTTATTCTACAAGAAAAATTATGTGACCACAGTAGGCGATGTGATGAATAGGAGGAAACAAATAAGCAGGCTGATCTCTTCACGATCCCACGCTTAGCTAAGTACTGTGGACCCTTTGGTGTTTATCATCCCCCTCTTTA